ATCAGTGGCGCCCACGTGACCAGCTCCTTCTGCGCAGCTTGCAAGGAAAAGCCTGTCAGCCTGTTGTCGAACAAGGCACTGCAGCCATGTAGGTACTCCTTCAGCTTCTTCTCTCTCTGCTGCTTCATCCGGGGCCACTTCGAGACGCGGAAGAGCTTCGTCGGGCCGAGATTGTTCAGGTCCAGCATCCTCGTCTTCAGGAAGCTTATCGTGTCCTTCGCGAATTGCGCGCAGAGCCGCTCGCAATCGGGGTACTTGCTGCGGAAGGCATGCCCGTCGATCTGCTTCTCGTGCATGGTGTAGGTGTGCGTGACTGGGTTGCCGTCCTTGTCGATGCCCCGCACCTTTACGCGTTTGCCCCCTCCGTGCCCGTAGACCGCCAAGAAAGCCGAAAGCCACGTGCCTTCGACACCCCCGCCGAACACCTCTCCGCACTCCAAGTAGCGGTGGCGGAGGTCCCCTGTCGCCTCGTCGATGTCCTTCGTCACTTCGGTGACATCGACCTGGTGGATGTGACAGACAACGGAGTGGAGTCAGAGGGTGATTCCAAACGTGCATGCATGGGACAAAAATTACATGCAGGGTGATAGAAGCTCACCTCCCTCTTCTGGAATTTGAGGTTGAGCTCATTCATCACTCCGAGGACGTCCGCCAGGAAAAAAAGACAAAACTGGAACTTGTAACAGATAACGACCTCATACAGCTCATGCCCGTACTCATAGAAGAGAATGATAGCGGCGCCGAGGACCTTACAAAGGCGCCTCACAGCCTCACCCCTTGAAAGCCAGCGCACGGTGTGAATTCCTTGCACTTCAAGGTTGGTGTTATGTATTGCCCGCTGCAGGTACTTGAAGCGTTGACTCCAGACACATGAACGTCCCAGAAGATCGGCCAGAGTCCAAATCACAAGGTCGACCATGTCGAAGTCTGGAGAAGCAGTGGCCGCGTCCTTCACCGCCAAGGCTTCCCTGCATGGTGCACACAAGGGAATTTTAGTCAAGCACTTGTAGGAAACCTAAGCGACTGAAATGACAAGCGGTTAAACCTGTGGGCGATGCAGTGCGAAGAGACGAGATGGGGGATGTGCTCGCGAAGTCGGGCGACGAGACCGTTGTCTCGGCCGACCATGACAGAGGCGCCGTCGGTGCTCATGCCGGTGATTCGGGAGAGATCGATGCCAGTTGCTCGCAAGTGAGCCAGAAGAACGGCGAGGAGTGACGCGGCGTCGCACTTTTCGATGGTCAAGAGTGCAAAAAACTCAGTCACAACACGATGCGCCCGCAAGAAGGTTAGATAAACAATCAGATGTTTACCGCGAGTACGGTCAGTGCTCTCGTCGCAGCTGATGCCGAGGTAGGGTGAGGCGAGAATGTATTGCATTTGTCGGCGCTGCAGGTAGGTTGCCAGGCTGCTGACGAGCTGACAGAAGCCATACCTGTAGTAGCAGAAGTGACAACAAGGTGTTGGTTAGACCTTTTTGAAAAAAAAAGGACATGGTGTACTTCGAATAAGTGCATTACCTTGTCAGGTAGACTCCGTAAGACTGCAGCGGAATGTCCGGTGTCTCCTGCTCGGCCATGAAGCGGAGTAGCCTCGGGTACATGCTGATGGGTGCATCACACTTGCACAGGAAGTCGACGCAGCGTAGGAGCCTCATGACGCGCTTCCCTTCGATGTCAATCCGCGCGTAATTCTCCATGCGCCTCTGGGTGCTGGCGATCTCTTCGGCGATCTCCATCTGACGCTTGACGGCTACTTCGTGGGCTGTCGTGTGTTCGTGGAACCGCATCGCTTGCGTCTGCAGGTCACGTGCCCCGTCGCGGCTGTTGGAGTACGGTGTTGTCTCTTTGCCGAAAGCCTTGCACACACTGCACTTCAAAGCAGGGTAACCATCTTTCGTTTTCGTTAGCAAAAGCCAAGGGAAAAAAGGAAGCCAGCTGGTCTTATACTTGTGCTCAGCCATGAGATACTTCTGCTCGATGAGTTCCTTCTTTGAGAGCTTCGGCGGCTCGGGTTCTGGAATACCAGGGGCCTGAGGTTCAGGCGACGAGCGAGGCGGCGACGGTCTATGTAGCTTCCCGCCGAGGACTATCGTGCTCTGGGTGTACTTCCCGACGCGTGCTTTCTTCCCAGATGAAATCGTCGACGCACACTCGACCGTGTAACGCACGGTCGTGGCTGTCTCGCAGTCTGGAACCAAAGGGCCCCGGCTAGATGAAGCGACAGCGGGCGGAGGTATATAGGGAGCGGCGGGAGTAGATACGGGTTGTGATGGTGTAAGGAGTGCGGTGGGAGACCACAAGATGTCTAGCGCGGATCTACGGACCTCCACGGGGGGGTCCCTACCTAGTTCAGAACTATCGTCGGCAGTGGGAGACTCACCAGAGTCTCCTACATCCGCCATGGCTAGAAGCGGCGGATATGCTGAAAATGAGAAATCAGCGCGACGAAACTAGAGGAGATTGAAGACTGGAGCATCTCGCAGCTGTGACGTGAAGAAATGAAAAAAACTGGGTTGGAGGAGGAGCTGGTGAAGAAGACGGGAAGAGGACCAAGAAGCCCCATCTCTCGATTTTCATGGATGGTGCATAACCCATCCAGGTTCCCGTATCGCCATGGCGATACCGTCAACGGCGAAACGCACCTGCGCTGGCATCGTCTGCACAGAGATGATTGGCGGGGTGATGTCATACAGAGGCTGACATTGCCGCGCTCATCATATTCTGTCCTCGTCTGCTGCGTGCTGAGTCACGAATGCCAGTTGACGGTTGCAAATGTTGCTGTAATGGCAGCATACAGCGTGTATACGGCGGGAATCTTGCCGAGTGCAGATTCCCCACGTGACGCATGCTGGGCGTGTTCAATGGACTGGGCCCCGTCACGCGTAAGGGGGCCATTTCGAGGAAATTCAGGGTCCGCATGGATGTCGCATTCAGGGTTCGTACGCGTTACTCCCTGAAAACTCAGTGTTGGTATAACACAAACCCTGAAATTTTAAGTGTTCACAGACATACAACCCTGAAGAGGTTAGGGTTCAAAAAAACCCAACCCTGAAAATTAAGGGTTGGCAAAAAAAATACCCTGTGAAATCAGGGAATCAGGGTAAAATACCCTGATAACGAAAGGCCTGGTTGTACCCTCTAAGGCACAAACCTGTATAGTCTACAGTAACAAACTAAGTTATGTTTGACAGTTTCCAGGTGAAGAATCCAAGCTGGAGACCCGAGCGGGACGCGGTCCCGGAGCATGTCTTCAAGGAGGCACGAGCCGACCTATCTTTCCTGCTGAAAGCGTGTAAGCCGTCTCGTGGACTCAACCTTTCATTAGGAGTCCACGTGGCTTTACGCTCCTTATCGTTCGACAGCAACATCGTCATCAGAGCCTGCTGATAAAAACGTCGGAGTAATTGTGATGGATCGCGCGCACTATGTCGCTCTCTGCATGGAGCATCTCGACGACGCGACAGTGTACCAGCCAGGCTCTCATATTCGTTTTAAGGCCACGCTGATTGATCAGTGTGTTCAAATTATATAAGTTATAATTTATATAGGCTTGGTAGGTTGTTACTGAACCTTTCTGTAGGGGGTACAAACCCCTCCTTGTACTCCCCTCTCTTCCTAATCCAACTCACTTCTCTCTCGACACTCTCGTCAACTTCCTAGCTAAACCCTTGGCCGCCATTCATGGCGGCCTCCTCTTTTCTTCCTAGTTCAGATTTTAACATGGTATCGAGAGCAGGACGTCCTTCCTGGGCCTGCTCCCCTCCGTGCTTCCGCTGCGTTCTCGTTTACTGCCTTCCAACTTCCTGCCGTGCCGCCGTGGCGGCCATGCCTGTTCCTGCCGTGCCGTCGCGTCGTGACGCGTGGCGTCGACGCCACACTGCTGTGACGGCGCCGTGCTTACCATCGCAGCGGCGACGTCCCACCGCTGCATCGACGCCGCGATGTGACGGCGTCGTAATGCTGCCGTGGCAGCGTCGTCGGACGGCAGCTTGCCGCGCGACGTTCATGGCGCCGCCACACCTGCTGCCCGCACGCCAGCCTCAAGCGTGAGGCTGGACCACGCCCCGCCCCCCTTCCCCTGTGTCCTGTATCTTGTCGCAGCCGACGGCTGATTCCCGCCGGCCGTCCCACCCTCGCGGGGTCTGGCCACGTCACCGAGAGGTGCGGGTGCCGCCGCCGCCGCCGCTGTTGTCGAAGCAGCCGCCGCCGCCGCTGTCGCCGCTTGCGTCGGGGCCACGCAGCCGCACGCCGCCGCCGCCGCCGCTGTCGACACTGCCGCCGCTGCCGCCGTCGCTGCCGCAGCCCCTGCGGTCGACGTCGCCGCCTCACGCACCGTGGGGTCGACCGACCTAGTGTCGCTGTCCCTGTGGCTGGAATGGGGGTGCTAGGTTAGGGGGTGTGTGGTGTGTTGGGTGGGTGTGTGGCTACCAAGCCTAGGGGGTGTGTTCAAATTATATAAGTTATAATTTATATAGGCTTGGTAGGTTGTTACTGAACCTTTCTGTAGGGGGTACAAACCCCTCCTTGTACTCCCCTCTCTTCCTAATCCAACTCACTTCTCTCTCGACACTCTCGTCAACTTCCTAGCTAAACCCTTGGCCGCCATTCATGGCGGCCTCCTCTTTTCTTCCTAGTTCAGATTTTAACACAGTGTCGATCTCAAAGAACACTCTGAAAATCAGTTTTTGGTAGTGGTTTTCTTACTGGTTGGCCCTGGTTCTATCGTTTTCAAGGCTGATTCATCAGGGTCGGTACAAGAGAAGAACACCCTGAAAAAGAAACAAAATCAGCGTAAAAAGCCTGAAAACTATGGGCCTGGTACCAGCCGGTTCGTCACAACCCAACTCCTGTTCTACAGCAGCTGACGGAGCTGAAGGCGACGTGGTCACATGGGACCTGCTTTTCCTGACGGTCTTTGGAAGTACTTTTTCGATCGTCCGCCAGGGGGATGGCGACCAGCTGCTGAAAATGTAATGCTTCCATCCATTGTTGCAAAGCCTATGGATCAACGGTGCTGCTTTCCAAGCACTTGACCCAGCCCTGGGTTGTTTGGTTCTCGAAAATGCTGGAGCTGCGCGCGATGCCTGCTCTTGCTTCGCTTCCTTCCATCCCCGATGCGATGCCGAGTGCCTGGAAGTGCAGCCTGAGGCATTTGGGCGACCTTCGAACTTCTGAGCCTCGCGAGTCTGTGTGAGCTGTCCACATCGTTGTGGCAGCTGAAGAATCTATAGTCTCTAGTCATCGACGGCTGCCCGAAGCTAGCCTGGGTGCCAGAATCCTTCCCCAGTCGTTCCAGCCTGCTGCACCTGTTCCTCTCCGACTGCCTGGAACTCTCATCCATTGCAAGGGACTTCGGCCAGTAACCTCCCTCCTAGCCCTGGAGCTGCGTGAACTGAATGGCATCGCAGCTTGCCCAAATCGTCTCTGCAGCTGCCCGGACTGAAGGTTGTGGAAGTTGAAGGGTGTGCGTGGCTGGCTGAGCTGCCACCATTACTCTGCGATATGCCGCTGCTGCAATGGTGCAGGATATCGAGGTGCCCGCTGATCTCTAAGAAATCAAAGCGGAAATTTGGGAAAGGATTTTCTGAGGAACTACAGGCTGAAGGATATCGGGAGGTGAGGAGTGGGAAGGTGAGGAGGATGAGGAGGGGAATGGCGATGAGGGGGATGAAGATGAGGAGGGAAGTGGTGATGAGGAGCGGGATGGCAATGAGGAAGGTGAAATGGCCATGGAACAAGTGGGAGAGGAGTGGGAAGGTGAGGAGGATGAGGAGGGGAATGGTGATGATGATGATGATGATGGTAGAAGCTCAGGAGAATGATTGTAGCAAGTCAGTGCATCACCTGTCGCCACCAAGTCTCACCCAAACATACACCTCATTCTAGCAAGCTACTGTCCAGTAGCCAGTTACTGTCCTCAAGCCAGTTAGTGAGAGGCAGAAAGGTAAGCTGCTGTTCTCTCCAGCAGGCAGGGCATGGCATGTAGGGAGCTAGCAGGCACTGGCACATGTGTTTGGCACAGCTTTGGCAGAGGTCTGCTCACATCCTCTTCTTGGCAGGTACGCATCTCTTGTGGAAGAGAGGTGAGGACAGGGAGACTCGCAGCAGCAGCAGGCAGGGCACGAGCAGAAAGGGCATGTAGATGGCCAGCAGCTTCTGGCGGGTGGGCCAGGGGGATGCGCTCGCTGCAATCTCAGAGAGGATAGGTATCTGATTGTGGGGGGTTTGGGGGGGGGAAGGGGGAGTGGGGGAAAGGGAGAGGGAGGGAAATTTGCAGTGAGTGGGAGAAGGAAAATTCGCAGTGAGTGGAGCATGTGTTGTTTTGAGGCGCCTCAAAACGAGACTCATATCACACGGTTTTGAGGCGTCTCGATGAGTGGAGCACGTGCTACCTCCAGGATTATTAGAGGCAGCACGTGTAGGCCTATTAAAAGACACAAGTTACAAGCTGTGACTGGTAGGTTGATTGGTACCATTATCAGCCAAATTTGGGCAGACGGCCAACTAACGAACTAGATGTGGAAAGAAAAAACTGATGTGGAAACAGGCAGAAGGAGTGTGAGAAGTGGACTCTGGTGTACTACCGTGGCGGTGATGCACAGGATGGTTATGGGCGACTGACCATGGTGGGGATACATGGGATGGTTATTGGCCGACTGACCATGGTGGTGATGGCATGAGCTGAGTAAGCCACAGCAGGCACGCGGATCCACTCCGCGCCTGAGGGGGGATGGGGTTTTGCAGAAATCAAGGACGTTGGGAGGGAGGGAGGGTTGTTGATAACTCTCAAGCACAAGGCACAGTGACGGACCATGGTGGTGATGCCATCAGCCGAGTACGCAACAGCAGGCACGCGGATCCACTCCGCGCCTGAGAGGTGGGGTGGGATGAAGGGAGGTTGGGAGGGATGACGAAATGGATAGAGGGTGGAAGATGGGTGGAATGTAGGACATGGGCTGCTTGTGAGGGAATGGAAAACGCACAGCAAGTTTCCCAGCTGTGACGAGTCATGCATGCGGCATGCAGCATGCGACATGCGCAGCATGCGAGATGGGCATGATATACGGTCAGGATCCAAGCACCTTGACCCAGCAGCAGCACATGCGTGGTACGTTAGTTCTTTAGAATCGTCAGAAGCCAAAGCACCTTAAAGCGAGGATCTCGAAACCCCCTAAAGTCAAAACCTAAGGTTTTGAGCCCCAGCCAAAATGCCCCTCGAGTCAAAACCTAAGTCTTTTAGTTGGGGGGTTTTGAGATCCGTGCTATAACTTGACCCAGCGGCAGCACATGTGTGGAATCTGAAGGAGCGGCAGTCCGCAGAGCACACCTCTGAAGGAGCGGCAGTCCACAGAGCACACCTCTCAAGGAGCTGCAGTCCACAGTGCACACCTCTCAAGGAGCGGCAGTCCACAGAGCACACCTCTCAAGGAGCGGCAGTCCACAGAGCACACCTCTCAAGGAGCGACAGTCCACAGAGCACACCTCTCAAGGAGCGGCAGTCCACAGAGCACACCTCTCAAGGAGCGGCAGTCCACAGAGCACACCTCTGAAGGAGTGGCAGTCCACAGAGCACACCTCTCAAGGAGCTTTAATTGAACTTTTGAGATTGAGTTAAGTTCTCCTCCTACAGCTTACCCCCTAATGCGTCGAAAGCCATAGCGTCGCGAATACTTCATCAATCAACGTGATTCAAATTGGGAATGGTAGCTGAGATTAAGAGCTACAATATATTCAAGTTTCGCGACATTTCAACGGCTAGTTCTTCGTCGACGTCGTTTCTTGTGAAGACGACTTTTCTGTCCAGAATTTCGGATTTATATTTTGAGTAATTCTAGCTCCTAAGTTCACCTAGACTCCGTCCTTAATCCTAACATTCTCCACTCCGAAGTGCCCTAAAACTATACTGTCGTGGGCTTCCTGTAGAAGTAACTCTCATATTAGGCTGTACTCTGGTACCCAGATGCAGTTAGTTACATAATAGACTCCCTTGCCTGCTGCGAGCTATTCGTATGCACCCGATGTAAAGAATCTGTCCGGCTAGTACGCGTGGATAAATAGGTCTGTTAAGAGCCCGCCGCAGCCGTGGGCTCGTCTCCCGCCTGGTTGGCCCGGCACCTCCGGAGGCGGTGGCCGTGGTGGCAGCCCGCGCAGCTTGGCGTCTACCAGCGGCTCCAGTGCTGTGACCTGCCAGTACCAGCTTCAGACCGGGCCTCTCCGCGGCACTCTGTGCCGCCGCCCGCACCCGACCGCCCGCTGTTTCCGCCGCCTTGACGATCTTTTTCGTCGTCGCTTTGGCCCGGCCCCGGACCTCCCTGACTGGCACAGCCTACTCCGCCAGGGCGTGCCGATCTTTGAGTTAGACATGGATCAGATAGGTGTTGCTTTGCATGCTTTGTATGCTGACACTTCTAGTGTTGCTGGATCTTACTACCCTGTGTACTCTAGTTTAGGTGTTTCACCCTTGTGTAGCTTAGCTTCCCCTGCTGCGACAGGCGTAGGACTGCCTAGGTTGCCTAGTCTAGTCGCTGCACCGGCTCCGTCCCCGGCCTCCGCCACTGCGTCGCTGTCCTTCACTCTCGACTCTGGTGCTTCTGCCTGCTTCTTCCGCGACCGTTCCACGCTCACGCCGCTTGCTGCACCTGCTGTTGTCTCTCTCGCTGACCCCTCTGCGGGTCCGGTCGTCGCGCGCAGTTCTACGTCCCTTCCTTGTCCGGCAGTTCCCTCGGGCTCCCTTACTGGCCTCCACGTTCCCTCGTTCTCCAGGAACCTGGTTGGTGTCGGCTGTCTCCAGGACCTCGGCGTCACCACCACGTTCCCCGGGCACGAGCGGTTCGCTGTCTGTTCTGAGGCTGTCTCAGGTTCCCCCCTTGCGACGTTCCCCCGGGACCCGGTGTCCGGTCTGTTTACCCTACACACCGCTTCCCCCCCGGTTGGTGCGTCCTCCCAGGTCGCTGCAGCTTGCTCGTGTCGGTCCCTCACTCACCCCTCCCTTCTCTGGCACCACCGCTTAGGTCACCCTGCTCTCCCGCGTCTGCGTCACATGTCCCAGCACGGTCTTGTCTTAGGTCTCCCCACGTCGCTCCCTGCCCTTCCTCCCTCGACTGCGCCACCGTGCACGCCTTGCGTCGAGGGTCGGCTCCGCCGTGCTCCTCACTCCTCCTCGCTGCGTCCTGCTACTGCCCCCCTTCAGACCCTGCACTTGGACGTTTGGGGCCCTGCCCCCGTCCCCGGACCGCGCGGTGAGCGCTACTTCCTTGTGCTCGTCGACGACTACACGCGCTACACCACGGTGTTTCCCCTGGAGCGGAAGGCCGACGTGCCCGACGTTCTTCTCCCGTGGGTTGTGGCTGCGCGTCTCCACCGCGGTCTCCCCGTGTTGTGTCTCCACTCCGACCGTGGCGGCGAGTTCGCCTCTGGTCGGCTTGGACAGTTCTGTCGTGCGGAGGGCATCACCCAGTCGTACACGTTGCCGGACTCGCCACAGCAGAATGGGGTTGCTGAGCGCCGCATCGGCTTGGTCATGGAGGTCGCCCGTACCTCCATGATCCATGCCGATGCCCCCCATTTTCTGTGGCCGTTCGCTGTTCGCTACGCGGCTCACCAGCTTAACCTGTGGCCACGCTCCCAGCGGCCGCAGGTTTCGCCGACCCTCCTTTGGACCGGGTCCCCCGGTGACGCGTCTGCGTTCCACGTCTGGGGCTGCCTTGCTCACGTTCGTGCCTCTGGCACGGACAAGCTCACTGCCCGCACTGTCCCCTGTGTCTTCCTCGGTTTCCCCCTGGACTCGTCTGACTGGCTTTTCTACCACCCGCCGTCTCACCGCTTCCTCCACTCTCGTGACGTCACCTTTGACGAGTCCGTCTCCTTCTACCGCCGCTTCCCTCACCGAGGTCTCCCAGTTGCCCCCCCCCTTTTCCTTGCTCCCTCTCCCCCGGTAGCCCCTGCCCCTCTCCCGCCTCGTCCTGCCCCGTCTGGTGTCTCCCACGTCACTCCCCTCCCGTCGGTTGTCCCCGTTGAGGAGTCTGCTGACTCTGGTGGTACCCCCGGTCCGTCCTTGCCGCGTCCCCCTTCCCCGGTGCCTCCGCCCCCACTGTCGCAGTCGCCGACCCCGCTGCCGCCGCCGTCGCCGTCGCCGCCGCAGCCGTCGCCGCTGTCGCCGCCGCCGCAGCCGTTGCCGCCACTGCCGCCGCTGCTCTCGGCCCCTGGGGGTGCTGGTGTGGAGGAGGGTGTTCGTCCTGCGGCTTCTGGGGGTGCCGCTGGTGTTGGAGGGGGTTCTCGCTCTGGGGGTGTTGGTTCTGGGGGTGCTGCTGTTGAGTGTTCTGCCGACGGTCGTTCTGCCTCTGCTGGTCCGAGAGTTCCGGCCCAGCCGTCGTCGCCGCCGCAGCAGCCGTCGCCGCCGGTTTCCGCTCTCCGCCTGCTCGGCCTTCCCTCCCCGGACCGCGCGCCGGTGTCTCCCCCACCGCCTCCTGACCTTCTAGTCTACGGTCCTGTGTTCCCGCCGCCAGACTCGTCTCCGGCCCGTCTTCCTCCTCGTTCCCCTCCTGTGTCTCCTCCGCTGTCCCCTGACCCTACCCCTCCGTCTCACGTTTGGGCTCGCCGTCCCTCCCGTGCTCGTCCCGTCTCTCCTGTCCTGCCCACCCACCCTATGTTGCTCCGTTCCCACTCGTCTCGTCCTCCCCTCCTCCCGTCCCCTCCTCCCTCGTCCCTTGCTGTTGCACCTCCTCCGTTCTCTGACTACCTCCGTTCTGCTCGTCCCCTTGTCCCTCGGGTCCTTGCCTCTCTTGTTACCGACCCTACTGTTCCTGTCTCGCGCCTTGACGCGCTTGTCGCTGCTGTCGCTGACTTCGCTTCTACCCGCCGCCTTGACTACGCTACCGCTCTGGTCTCTGACCCTGCCCGTCCTCCGTCCGTCGGGGGTGCTCCTGCCCTTGGCAGTGACGTCCTAGAGGACAGGCAGTACGAGCTGGCTTTCCTTTCCGAGGCTGCTCCCCATCTCTGCTCCATGCTGTTAGTCCCTGAGGGTGACCCAGACGCCTTCGACATCCCGACCCCTCGCACCTACGCTGAGGCCACCTCGGGACCTTGGGCCTCTCAGTGGATAGCTGCCATGGAGCAGGAGATGGCATCTTGGAGATCCACCGGCACTTACGTCGACGCAGTTCCCCCGCCAGGGGTGAACGTAGTCGATGGTCGGTGGCTCTTCAAGGTGAAGCGCCCCCCTGGAGAGCCGCCTGTCTTCAAGGCGCGCTACGTGGCCAGAGGTTTCAGTCAGCGCGAGGGGGTGGACTTCTTCCAGACCTTCGCCCCGACCCCGAAGATGACCACTCTTCGGGCGCTGCTACACGTAGCAGCACAGCGTGACTACGAGCTTCACTCTCTCGACTTCTCTACTGCCTTTCTTCAGGGCAGCCTACACGAGCAGGTCTACCTGCGCCGACCACAGGGCTTCACTGGTACCTTCCCTCTTGGGACCCAGTGGCTTCTCAGGCGCCCGGTCTACGGCCTGCGTCAGGCTCCCCGCGAGTGGCACGACACGCTACGTGCCACGTTAGCAGACCTGCAGTTCTTTCCGTCCTCTGCTGACCCTTCACTGTTTGTGCGTTCCGGCCAGACTCCGTTCTACATCCTTGTCTACGTAGACGACCTGGTCTTCGCTACTCCTGACAGGGACGCACTGGCCTCTGTGAAGGCTGAGCTGCTGAAGAGACACACCTGCACTGACCTTGGAGAGCTGCGTCGCTATCTTGGCCTGCAGATCTCTAGGGACAGAGCAGCACGCACCATCACTCTGACCCAGTCACACTTGGTGCGTCAGGTCCTTCAGAGGTTCGGTCTTCAGTTCTCCTCCGCACAGCCCACACCTCTACCCGTAGACCATGGGCTCTCTGCTCCCGTTCCTGAGGAGCCAGTAGAGCCCAGTGGCCCCTACGCAGAGCTGGTGGGTTGCCTCATGTACCTGATGACTTGCACTCGCCCAGATCTCGCATACCCTCTCAGCATCCTGGCTCGCTTTGTGGCTACAGGCAGACACCGACCTCAGCACTGGTCTGCCGCTAAGAGGGTTTTGCGTTATCTTGCTAGTACATCAGGCATGGGGTTAGTGCTAGGAGGACGCAGGCCAGTGGTCCTTACTGGGCACACAGACGCTTCTTGGGCAGACGACGCTGAGACGCTCAGGTCGTCGCAGGGCTACTGTTTTAGCCTTGGTTCGGGTGCTATCTCTTGGAGATCCACTCGCTCGTCGTCTGTGGCTCAGTCTAGCTGTGAGGCTGAGATCTACGCTGGTGCCATGGCGGCACAGGAGCTCCGCTGGCTGACCTTCTTGCTCACAGACTTAGGTGAGCGGCCTAGCTCTGCCCCGGTCCTGTACGCTGACAACAGGGCCATGATACTCCTGTGTCAGGAGCCTCGGCTTGAGGGCAGAGCGAAGCATATCCAGCTGCGGTACTTCCTCCTGCGCGAGCTACAGCAGCGCCGCCAGGCCCGCGTAGTTCACTTGGCCTCAGGTGCCAACACAGCTGATATCTTTACTAAGGCGCTTGCGCCTAAAGATCATCAGCGGCACTGTGTACAGCTTGGTCTTGTTCCTATAGCTGCTCCCCTGTTAGGATCTTGATTGTGTACTCTCTATTATATATGCTTGTCAGACTGGCCTTGTGGCCTTACCTCCAGTGGCTGGACTAGTAGTGCCACCCTGGCTTGCTTCAGTTTTGGTTGTATTCTTGCTGACTGGTCTCCAGACCCCTGCCTCAGTGGTTGGACTAGTAGTGCCGCCCTGAGCTGTTTGCTTCTTGTTTAGTTTCACCCCTTGTCTAGCCTAGGGGGTGTGTCAACTTATACATATTATCTATGTAGAAGTTATAGGCTAGACTGAGGTATGCTTCTAGTGAGTACAACCAACTAGTATTTGTTCTAGGTTTCCACCTCTAGTAATCATTCGTTTCTACGTTAACAAGCCCCCCACAAGCATCTCGCCCTGATTTTGGCTAAGGGCCAATCAGCACCCCCCCACAGGTAAATCACGCTCCCCCCCCTAAACCTGGCATTACACAAATCAGAGTCGACCCCCCATACAGAGTTGAGGCATCAGAGTACACTAGTAAAAAAAGTCTGAAAAATCAGCGTAGGTACATAAATCTTCTCTGAAAAATCAGAGTAAGGTACAAAAAAAAGTCTTCCCAATCAGAGTACACCCCCAAAAAAACTCTGAAAAAAGTCTGAATCAGAGTAAAAAGTCTGCAATTTGGGGGCCTGAACACAAACCCTGAAATTTTAAGTGTTCACAGACATACAACCCTGAAGAGGTTAGGGTTCAAAAAAACCCAACCCTGAAAATTAAGGGTTGGCAAAAAAAATACCCTGTGAAATCAGGGAATCAGGGTAAAATACCCTGATAACGACAGGCCTGGTGGAGTGCAGCACCAGCGAGTCGTCCCCCTGTTCACCAGACCCAGCGTCGCATTCCCGCCTCCCTGCCTCCCCGCCTCCCAACCAACACACGCGGGGTCCGCTCATCCGACCCCTTACCCCTAAGACCCCTCTAGCCTAGCCCTTCACCCTCCCCCAAAGTTGGTCGACATGGGAGGCTGGTGCGCGGTAGAGTGCAGCACGAGCGAGTCATCCCCAATATTCACCACATTCCAGCCCATCTTAGCCACAGGCGTGGTCGGCTCCGACACACAGCTGGGGCTGCTCTCCCGCCTCAGTCTTGTGCGCACATCCAAGCTCGCATCCCTGTTGCCACCCTCCACTCCCACAGGGAACAGCAGCTCCTCCAACCCCTTCTCCCTAAGACCCCTCTAGTCTACCCCATCCTCCTCACCGCCCCCCAAAGTTGGTGGACATGGGCGGCTGGTGCGTCGTCGAGTGCAGCACGAGCGAGTCGTCCCCAATGGTCGCCACATCCAGCGTCGCATCCCCGATCCCACCTCCCCCCATCCCAGCCACGGGCGTGGTCGGCTCGGACACATAGCTGGGGTCGCTCTCCCGCTTGAGCCGCCGCTGGATCTCCACAAGGCGTGTGAGCGCGTCGGTCATCTCGGGGCGGTGCCGCGCCTTGTCTCGCGTGCACTTGTCTGCGATCTCAGCCATCTCCTGTATCGCCTGCATGTCGTAGTCTCCTTTGAACGCCGGGTCTATGATTTCAGCTAGATTCCCCTTCTTTAGATACATGCACGCCTGGTAGGAGAAGATGGGCAGGAAGAGGGAACAGGGAAGGGAAGGGGCTTGAAGGCGGGTAGGGGGATGGGACAGGGGAGAGGGGGGTGGGAGGGAGCAGGGGATGTAGGGACTTGGGATGGAACAGTGGTAAGTTCATGCGAGTGCATCCCCCTCCTATAAAATGCAATGGCTCACTCAAATCAGATGGCCACCCTTCCAAACTCACGCATTCCCCATCCATCACCACTCACCCACCCCATCCCCACTCACTCATCCCCCATCCCCACTCACTCATCCCCCATCCCCACTCACTCATCCCCAATCCCCACTCACCCATTCCCCATCCGCACTCACCCATATCGGCAGCTGCATGAAGCAAGGCCCATCCCCTGGCCCTGACTCGGGGTCCTCCACTTCTAGAATGGGCGATTTGCCGGTGATCAGCTCCCACAGCACCACACCGAAACTGCATAGAGGGCAACAAACACGGACGCAGGGGACGCAGAACAGGTCAGGAACGTAGTACAACTTTCCCCCACCCTTCTCCCCCATGACTCGGGGTCCTCCACTTCTAGAATGGTCGATTTGCCCGTGATCAGCTCCCACAGCACCACACCGAAACTGAACGGTGCACAACCAGGGATGCAGGAAGAGAAGGGAAGGGCAAGAGTTTGCGGAGATGTCTCTAAGGGCCTTCCCTTGGTCCTGACTCTGGGTGCTCCACTTCGAGGAAAGGCGATTTGCCCGTGATCAGCTCCCAAAGGACCACACCGGAACTGCAAGTAACTGCTTGCTCTTGTGTACAATACAGATCATAAACCTTCAAGTCAATGAGATCGCCGTTGTGAAACCGCATGAAGTCAACGACGATCACATGACGCCACCAGCATGTGCAGAAAAACTCACCTGTACACGACGTCACACTTGGTGGTGGTGGCCTTGCACGTGTAATAGTACTCCTGATCAATGTATCCCGGTGCTCCCAGCACCCGACCCCAGAGTCACATAAAGCAACAATACGATTCAAAGAACGCACCTGTACACGTCGCACTTGGTGGTGACCTTGCACGTGTAGTAGTACTCCGGGTCCACGTATCCCGGCGTGCCCAGCACGCGCGTGCTCACTGCCTCTGACGCCCCCTTGCCACCACTTGTGCCGTCCACCATGTTCTTAAAGAACCCGAAATCCGCCACCTTGGGCTGGTATGATGGGGCATGCACAAAAGGTGATGGAGAGGGGCATGGAGCAGCAGAGTGGGGACGAAGAGCACATGGGTGTTTGAGCCTCTGACCCCACCTTGCCCACCATGCTTCTGAAGAACCCCAAGTCCGCCACCTTGGGCTGCTGGGGCACAGGGACGCGCAGGGGGGGGGGGAGCAGAGGGGGGAGGGAGACGCAGACAGGGCAGATGGGTGTCACTGCCTCAAAGCCCCCCATGCCGCCACTGGCCCTGTCAACCATGTTTTTGAAGAAATCGAATCCGCCACCTTGGGCTGATGGCGACACATAACAACAGGTGAAACCCCCTCGGCAGGCTGTGAGAGACTCGGACCCCCTTGCCGCCACTGGCGCTGCCCACCACGTTCTTGAGGAACCCAAAATCCGCCACCTTGGGCTGATGGGGCAAAGGGTGAGCTCAAGGTTCATGATTGAAAGAATGGAGCACAGGTTTCGGGTTTCGGGTTTTGAGTTTAGGCTTTGGGGGGGGGAGGGGGAGGGGGGGAGGACACAGAGGGATTGCCACAAAGGGATGGGCAGATAACAAATTGGACGGTTCGGTGGTGGCGCGCGGGAAGCGCGTGCGAGCATGTCTTGATCCATCAGGATGTTTTTTGAGGCGCCTAAAAAAAACTTGATCCATCAGGATGTTTTTTGAGGCGCCTAACAAAAACTTGATCCATCAGGATGTGTTCGCTCATCACGTCGCGGTGCACCACAGAGGGCGTGGTATAGTTGTGCAGGTACCTCAACCTCCCCCCATCTGTTGCTCTTGCTCCCTACCCTGCTTTACCTACACCGCCAAATAACTACATAACAAGCACGGACTGGTAGGGAGAGAGCAACTGACCAGCATGCCTTCATCCATGAGAATATGTTCGCTCTTCATGTCGCAGTGCACCACAGAGGGCGTGGTGAACGGACAGACAGGCAGAAAGGTGGAGAGACAGACGGACAGACAGGCAGGCAGGCAGACAGACAGACAGACAGACAGACAGACAGACAGACAGACAGACAGACAGACAGACAGACAGACAGACAGACAGACAGACAGACAGACAGACAGACAGACAGACAGACAGACAGACAGACAGACAGACAGACAGACAGACAGACAGACAGACAGACAGACAGACAGACAGACAGACAGACAGACAGACAGACAGACAGACAGACAGACAGACAGACAGACAGACAGACAGACAGACAGACAGACAGACAGACAGACAGCTAAGTAGCTCACCAGCATGTCTTCATCCAGCAGAATGTTTCCGCTCTTCATGCTACGGTGCACCACAGAGGTCGTGGTGAAGTTGTGCAGGTACCTCAACCTCCCCTCAACTGCTGCTCTTGCTCCCCAGTGAGCTCTACCCACGCCTCCTATAAACCATACGGACTGCTAGGGCGAGAGCAACGGACCAGCATGTCTTCATCCAGCAGGATGTTTTCGCTCTTCACATCTCGATGCACCACAGACGGCGTGGTGAAGTTGTGCAGGTACCGCAGCCCCTCCGCCGCCCCCACCGCAATATCCACGCGCTGCAGGAAGGTGAGCCCTAGCTTGTGCGCGTCGGGGTGCTCCAAGGCGGCTGGAAGGGGGAGCGAGGGCACGGGGGGGACATGACATGGGGACAGGGGTTGGAAGCAAGGAGGAGTGAAGTTGTGCAGGTACCACGGACAAGGGATGGCGATGGCCATGCAGGTACCACGGACAAGGGATGGCGATGGCCATGCAGGTACCGCAGGTACCGCAGCCCCTCCGCCGCCCCCGCAGCCACATCCACTCGCTGAAGGAAGGTCAGCCCCAGCTAGTGCAGGTCGGGGTGCTCTAGAGCGGCTGGAGGGAAGCAGGGGAGGAAGAAACAAGGGTGAGTGCAGCCATACCACACCATGCACCGCAGGAAGCAGGGGTGGAGAAATTGGGGAAAAGACATGGGCAGCATGGGGTGGTGGAAGGGGCAGTGGGGTCAACTCTTCTCCTGCAGTAAACCTTTTTCCTTGACCTGAAAGCAGCAAAGATGCGGCTCACCTTTGGAGGGGCGTAGGTGTTGGCGCAGGTTCCCATTCGGCACGAACTCATAGACAAGAATCTGGGGTTAGTGGGAGAGGGGAGAAACCCAAAAACCAGGAGGGTGAAGAAAAAGAAGAGGGTGGGAGAATGGCAGGGTTAGACGGGAAGCAGCTGCTGAATCAGAACAAGCACATGCAAAGAAACTGACCCTCACGGACATAGACAGCAGAAACGTCTCTGACCCCATACCCCCTAATGCCTCGTGCCCCTTGTACCTTTTCCCCCTCTCCCCTTTCCCACGTGCACCCCTGCCAAGCTTCTCCCACTGGTTATCATCACACAAGCTTAGGCTGGGCTTCCCCAAATGCCTTTTGCCCCGTGACCCTTCACCTGTGCCTCACCCTCTGCACCTCACCCGTCCCTCTGCTCCTCACGGCTCCCTTTCCCTTTCCTCTCTCCCTCGCCCCTCCTCTGCTCGCCCCTCCCCTGCTCGCCCCTCCCCTGCTCGCCCCTCCCCTGCTCGCCCCTCCCCTGCCCCCCCCTCCCCTGCTCGCCCCTTACCTGCTCGCCCTGGTCGTCGCAGAAACCCAGCAGCTTCACCAGGTTGCGGTGGTTGGTCTGCGATATCAATTCAACCTGCAAAAAGAGGGGAACTTCAGCGTTACTCCAGGCACTGTAATAAGCGAGGTGGGGGTTCCCTTGAGGTGGTGATGGTTGGTGAGCACTCCGAGCTGCACGTGCTCCACATGGAGAGAGGAAACGTACCTTACGTAACCTGGCCAGCCCAGAAAAGCCCAGCCCAGCCCAGCCCAGCCCAGCCCAGCCCCGTTCGTATTTCTGCAAACAGACTGCTGTGACTTGCATCCGCTCACAGATTTTCCCACAAAGGTCACCAAGATGCGCCCATATCCTTCCAGTCCAGTCCTCCTCCCACACAGCTTCTCCTTTTCGCCCTCCCCATCACAGTGCTCTCCAACAACTCGCATTCCTACCCCTCATCTCTCCGTCTCACCCCATGCCTCCCCTACTCCCCCTACCGCACCTCATTCCTCAAGTGTTGAACAGCCTTGGCGGTAGACCTCGCCTCCAACCGCTTCACAATCCACTGCCCGCCGTGCACGCCCTCCCCCAGATACACCCTAAACCCGTACCGACACCTGCCCTGCCCCAGCACCCTCTCCTCATCCCAGTTTTGCCTCTGTCCCTCTCCCACGCACCTCATTCCTGAAGTCTTGAAGCGCCTTGGCAGTGGACCTCGCCTCGAGTCTTTTCACGGCCCACTGCACGCCATGTGCGCCCTCCCCCAGATACACCCGGCCGTACCCGCCCTGCCCCAGCACCCGCTCCTCGTCCCAGTTGTGTGTGGCAGCCGCCACCTCCTTGAGCGAGTACACCTGCACGAAACGCTGCTGGAGGTTCCACCCGAAGGAGGAGGAGAGCGCGGTATTCCCAAGGAAACCGCTGCCAGAAATGGACGACACTGTGGGTCGGTGGGAGGTAGGGTGCAGAGGGCAGGGACAGAAGGCACGTCTCAGAAGCGAGCCGCCACCTCCTTGAGCGAGCACACCTGCACGATGCGCTGCTGGATTTTCCACCCGAACGACGAGGAGAGCGCGGCATTCCCCAAGGAAACCTCTGCCAGATATAGAGGGCACTGATGGGGGTGCGGTGTGGAGGCAGAAAAGTTGGAAGGGTTTCTGGATGCCTCAGAAGCAAGCCTCCACCTCCTTGAGCGAGCACACCTGCACAAAGCGCTGCTGGAGACTCCACCTCAAAAAGAGGAGGAGGGCTGAGGGAACAAGGGGGGAAGGCGAGGAGGAGGGCTGAATTTCCCCAAGGATCCTCAAGAGAAAAGCTTCCACTTGGTGTGGTGTGTGGCGTGTGGCGTGTGCGCACGAAGAAGTAGAAGTAGGCGACAGGACAACCATGCCGAAGAGCACAGCCAGGGCCACCACCACCATGGAGATGTTGGCAACGATGTAGGACGTGGAGGAGGAAAAGGAAGAGGGGGGGCATACCGTGGCATAGAACCTACTTTATCTGAGGAGCCACAAGAGTAAGACTCACACTTGGTGTGCCGAGCGCGGACGAAGAAGTAGAAATAGGCGACGCCCACACCGAAGAGCACAGCCAGGACCACCACCACCACGGCAATGATGACAGTAGTGTAGGAAGAAGAGGAGGAGGGCGGATCTGGGGCAGGCGCAGCTGGGGCGGTGCCATTGGGAAAAGTGTCGTTCCTCTCGGGGAAGGGTGCTGGTAACACAGAGCAGGGGGGAAAGGGGAGAGACAAGGGGATTGTGGGAGAGAGACGGCCCACCGATGGACAGGTGGGTGCATGGACGGAGAGATGGATGGATGGATGGATGGATGGATGGATGGATGGACGGACGGACGGACGGACGGACGGACGGACGGATGGAAGGATGGATACATGGATGGATGGAGGCATGGATGGATGGATGGATGGATGGATGGATGGATGGATACATGGATGGAAGGAGGCATGGATGGATGGAGGCATGGATGCATGGATGGATGGATGGATGGATGGATGGACGGACGGACGGACGGATGGATGGAGGATGGATGGATGGAGGCATGGATGGATGGAGGCATGGATGGATGGAGGCATGGATGGATGGATGGATGGATGGATGGATGGATGGATGGATGGATGGATGGATGGATGGATGGATGGATGGATGGATGGATGGATGGATGGATGGATGGATGGATGGATGGATGGATGGATGGATGGATGGATGGATGGATGGATGGATGGATGGATGGATGGATGGATGGATGGATGGATGGATGGATGGATGGATGGATGGATGGATGGATGGATGGATGGATGGATGGATGGATGGATGGATGGATGGATGGATGGATGGATGGATGGATGGATGGATGGATGGATGGATGGATGGATGGATGGATGGATGGATGGATGGACGGACGGAGGGATGGATGGATGGACGGACGGACGGACGGACGGATGGATGGATGGAGGGATGGATGGATGGATACATGGATGGATGGAGGCATGGATGCATGGATGGATGGATGGATGGATGGATGGATGGATGGATGAATGGATGCATGGGGGGTGCGTGGGGGGTGGGGTTGAGTGGGTGGTTGGGTGCGTGGGTGAGGAGGTGGATGGTGGTGGGTGGGCGGGTGGGTGGGCGGGTGGGTGGGCGAGCAAAGGGCGGGGCAGTGACTTACGCAGAGGTGTTGGAGGCGGCACCTGATCCTTGTGGTCTGAAAGGGGGTGCAGGCAGAGAAGCGGGATGGGGGTGGTAGGCATGAGCAAATGAGTCGAGATTTGACTCGACTCAACCGGAGACGATTTGAGTCGAGTCGGGCGAGTCACGAGTCACAATGTGCATCCACACGAACCCAGCAGGTTGACCCGGCCGAGCTCTGCACTCCACACGACTTAGCGTCGTCCAGAATGCCCTAGCTCTGCACAATGTCCGTCTGCACGAGCACCTCATCAGCACACGTGAAGTTAACAGCCCCCCACCTCCAAAACACACACACTCTCTCTTACAGTACTGCACTCACCCAACCGATTGAGCTGGCCAAACTTGGGGTCACCCAGAATGCCCTTGTTCTGCACGATGACAGTCTGCACCAGCACCTCCTCATCGCTGGTGAAGTTCCCAAAGAGCACCACGTAGAGGTACATGTCAAACACAGGCGTGCTCGTGCTGTCCAGGCGCCAGTCGCTCACATAGGCGTACCGCACCCACACCTGGGAGGAGAGTGTGGGGCACGGGGGATCGAAGAAAACATGAGGCACTAATACCGGTCCCTCCAATAGGTAATCAAACCAAACTTATTGGTCACCCCAAGAAGTTGGAGCCCCACTTAGTTGTCCAACCAATGAAGCGGTCAACCCCAAATAAGCCAGGGCTCCCCTCAGACCAGACCCTTCTCCTTCCTCTTGTATACCCCTTCTCTTCTCAATACAATCACAACTTCAGTTTCTTTCATGTTATCAAAGCCTAACCAAACAAAGACTAGCACCTCCTCCCCGCTCTTTTTCCGGCCCAATGCCCTTTGTCTCCTGCAGAGCAAAGCCTTACAGTTGCAACCCCCAACCCTCTCCTAGCTCTTATCCTCCCATCCCTCCCTCAGTCACACGCTCCTCCTCCTCTCCCACTCCCCCCACTCTCCCCGTCGCCACTCCTTCCTCCCCCTTTAGCCGTCCTCGTTCGTTCCTCGCGTACCGCTGCTCCATTATAAATTGACTACTTGTCTTGTTCTGTCCACTCTTTCCCAAGCTCACCTATATCATTGGTTTTTACAGAGCAAGTCTGATGACTTTCTGCGGAGGAAAACACTACTCGTTTTTGCAAGAAACTTTGTGGCGAACTTCCGAGAGTCGAGACCCTGTCGTTGCAACCTACCCAACTGCTCTGCTTAATGCTTCAAACTCCAAAGAAGCCCCCAACGCTTCTCACCCCCAACCTGTTCCAAAGCAAACCAACTTGCTACGCGCGGAGGGAAACCCCTGAGACCCTCTCTCTGTAATCTACCCACCCACCTGCTTCGAAGCAATGCTGCAAACGGCACCAATGGCCACAACAACCCTTCTCGTCCACCCACCTGCTCTGGAGCAATGCACTTTTTAAGCTTCTGGGTGAACCCCGCTGACAGCTTCTCAGCCACTACTTGCGAGTAGTCGTCGTTCCAGCTTTTGATGTTGCTGTTGCTGCACACCAGGTCAAACTCGTAGTACTGCTGCTGCCCCACGCACACGCACGCCCCCGGCCCCGTCGGCACCACAACTGCGCCCGCGGAATCCCCGCCAGCACCTCCAGCAGCACCCGGCCGGACCCTCCCAGGAAAAGGCGAGCCATCGGGAGCACCAGCAGCTATCTCCCCACCACTGCTGCCAGGCGGGCCAGCAGCACCAGGAGGAAAACCAGAAGGGAGGGAGCCAGAAGGAGCACCAGAGGCAACAACAGCGGAGACACTAGCAGAGGATTCCTTGGTCAGGGCTTGTGCAGTGGCTGGGCTCGATGCATTGGAAGGTGCAGGTGCGGTGGGCGACGGGGGGAAGAGCGGCCCTTTCATGGGGCCCGAATTGGGCTTGCAGTAGGAGGGTGGGTAGGCGTTGAGGAAGGCTGGGAGGTCCTTGAAGTGAGTGGGGCTGCAGTCGTGGGAGACGCAGAAGGGTGCAGGGGTCCAGGCGCAAGAGTTGTTGAACTGGCCACTGGAGGTGGAGAGGTTGAGGAGGGGCAGGCCCGTGTCGATGTTACAGATCTGCGGGTTGCCGTACAGGCTGGGATGGGGAAGGGAGGAAGGCAAAGGGGGCGGGATGACTGGGAGGGGAGACGGGTGCCGGAGGCGTTGAACTGGCCGCTGGAGGAGGAGAGGTTGAGAGGGAGGCCCGTGGCGGTGTTGTCACAGATCTGACCGTTGCCATACAGGCTGGGTGGATGGGGATGGGGAAGGGGGAGAAAGAGGGAAGGGAGAGACGGGGGGGAGGTTGAGAGGCAGGCATGCGATGATGCTACTGTTTTAAGTGTTGCCACGTAAAGGCTGGGATGGATGGACGGTAAAGGGGATTAAGGGCGAAGAAAGAAAGAGGCACCAGCTATACAATAAAAGGGGTTCACGAATCGGAAAGAGGGTGGAGAACGACATTTGAAAAGGATAGCGGATATAAGGAGCAAGACTACGTGCACCCGCAAAGGGAGAAACAGCAGAGGCGCAACAAGCATGCGAGAGAATAACCATCTCTGCCAAGCCTAAGCAAAGGGCCGAGCTGCGGCTCAGCTCGCAAGCCGCCATTTCTTTCTGTCCGAACCAAGCCGCGAGCGGCTCGAAGCTCGGCAGAGTGGACGCACGGTTCTGGCAGATGTTGTAAACCTTGACGAGCCGGAGGCGGCTCATGAGCCCCCTGGCTCGTGTCGAGCCAGGCTGGCTCCGCTGGAACGTGCACCCAGCTCGGTCAGATTCACGAGCCCCAAGCCGAGCAGCCAAGAATTCTGGCTCGGGTAAAGCCGGCTCGGCTCGGCTAGGCCCTTCCATATACAAGCCAGACCAGGCTCGACCCGAGCCGAGCTCAGCTCGGCCCTTGCTCATGCCTAGTCTATGCCCTCGAGAACCCTTTCTCACACCAGATGCAAGACGCAGAGAAAAAAAAATCTGGCCGTACTCAAGAGTGCCCTTTCCCACGCTGGGTGTGCTGTCGACAGCAGCACCGTCGGTGCGAAGAGAGCCTAATCCTGAACCGTAAACCTTCAAATTAGGCTTGAGCATGAACCCGACCCGACCCAACCCGACCCGACTTTGCCCTACCCGATGTCGGGTTCAGGTCGGGTCGGGTCGGGTCAAGTCGGGTCGGAGCTCAGGAAATGTCAACCCGACCCGGGTTTAATAGGTCGGGTACTACCTGACCCGATTTCGGGTCGGGTCGGGTCGGGTTGGCATAGGGGCAGGGACGGGTAATAAGCCGACCCGACGGGTCTGGTTTTGTAGGTCGGGTCGGGTCGGGTCGGGTCGACCCTCCGCAAATGTCGACCCGACCCGTCAAAAAGTCGGGTTCGGGTCGGGTTACCCGGCCCGACCCGACCCGTTGCTCAAGCCTACTTCAAATCCCACAACCTGAATCCTGGACGTACTCAAGAGTGCGCTTCCCCACGCTGGATGCGCTGTCGACTGTAGCAGCGTTGTTGCGAAGAGAAACAAGCCGCAGGGAGGAGGGCGTATTGGCCAGGTTGGGCACTGTCTGGTTGACGAGCCAGTTGTTGCCCAGTAGCCTGCACACGCAGGGGGAGCGGGGAGGTGAGACGCAGCAATCACCAAATTATGATGTAGGGTCGTCGGTCACGGCAGCAGCGAGGCCAGTCGCAGGGAGGGGGGGCGCTTTGGCCACGTTGGGTACTGTCTGGCTGGCGAGCCAGTTGTTGCCCAGCAGCCTGCACACGGGGGTGGGCAGAGAGCAGTGAGACGCAGCAATCGGATCTAGGTGAGGCAAGTTGGGAGCAATCGGATTCATGTTGTGAGGCATTTGAATGCAGCAGGCTAGAGGGGGGGGAACCAGCGGGCTACAAGGGGATATAACAAACCATATGCTCCTGACAGGATTTGAGGCGCCTCAGAGCCAGAGGGGGGATCAGACCCTACACCCTCTTACAAGACCCTACGCCCTCTTACAAGACCCTACGCCCTCTTACAAGACCCTACGCCCTCTTACAAGACCCTACGCCCTCTTACAAGACCCTACGCTTTCTTGAATGACGTGCCGGGCTTACAGGGTGTGCAGCTTTGGCATTGTGAAGAGCGCTGGTGGCAAAGGCTGCCAGATTTGATTGTAGCTCAGGTCCCTGGAAGAGGGGGCATGGGAGGGAGACACATGGGCAGTACGTGCATTAGGTATGGGAGAGAGGCACATGAGCAGTAAGTGCATTGGGCATGGGAGAGAGGCACATGAGCAGTACGTGCATTACACGCGGGAGAGACATAGCAGTATGTGCAACGAGCATGGGAGACACATAGCATTCTGTGCAACAAGCATGGGAGACACATAGCATTCTGTGCAACGAGCATGGGAGACACCGAGTAAAGCAAGCCCCTCTGCTCACAGCCCCTCTGATCTCTGCCCCTCTGCTCACTGCCCCTCTGCTCACTGGCACGCCACGGTCTCTGCCCCTCTACTCACTGCCCTTTTGCTCACTGGCACGCCACGGTCTCTGCCCCTCTACTCACTGCCCTTTTGCTCACTGGCACGCCACGGTCTCTGCCCCTCTGCTACTGGACCGGCTGTGAGAGGGCTGAGGGCTCACAGCATGGTCGGAGCGACTTTTGAGTCCGACTCAAAAGCCAACTCAGTACGTGCATTGGGCATGGGACGGGAGACATGGCGACACCGAGCGACTCAGTATGTGCATCAGGCATGGGAGACACGGAGTGAAGCATGCTCACTGCATGCTGAGAGCCCTTTTGCTCTGCTCACACACAGGTACTTCAGGCTTGTGGGGGGGGGTGAGGAGGAAAGCAGATTATACTCACAGGTACTCGAGGTCTTCTAGGGTCGTGATGGCATCAGGCAGCACGCCTGAGATGTTGCTGTAGCGGATCACCCTGTCCGCAGCAGCACAAGTAACAAACCAGCACAAGGTAAGAGGTGCATGAATAAAGAGGTATGCGGCGGGCGCAGAAGATAGAGGGGTGTACACTCCTCATCAGGTCGCATCTCAGAGTCATAGACATGGGCTCAAGCCGAGCCGAGCCGGGTTCGAGCCGGCTACAGGCCGGGCTTCAAGCGAGCTGAGCCAAGCCGAGCCGGTACAAGCCGGCTTCAGCTGAAGCCCGGCTCGGCTTGGTGAAGCTAGACATGGGCATGAGCCGAGCCTGGCTCGGCTCGCCTCGAGCCGGGTCCTCAGGATCCCCGGCTCGGCTCGTCAGGGGGCTTGTGTGGTCTCTCAATTGGGGCCACGGGGTTGGGAGTCTCTAGTCTGGGGCGTGGTCCAGATTGTTGAGCAGATCGTCTGCTTCTACATCTTACAAAACTCTCAGGAGGTGCTGCAGGTTATATAGGGCTGGTTGAGGGCGACAGACTAGCGACAGGGCGAGGTTAGGGTTGGCAGACGAAATGGGCGCGGGGGGGTTTGTCGATCTGAAGTTTGACAGTCGCAAACCCCCCCCTTTCCCGAGTCGCCAGCTGGCTGGCTCGAAATCGAGCCAACTCGAGCCGGCTCAACTCCGGCTCGCCTGATATTGCGTGCGCGAGCCGAGCCCAGCCGCCGGCTCGAGTCGAACCAAGCCAGCCGGGTACCAAAGGCGAGCCGAGCCGAGCCGAGCCAGGTGTGGCTCAGCTTGTGCCCATATCTAGGTGAAGCCGGCTACGAGCCGAAGCCGAACCGGTAACGAGCCGGGCTCGGCTCGGCTCGGCTCGTCTTTTGAAGCCCTGAACCCGGCAGGGCGGGTGTTAGCTGAAGCCATAGGGCGTTAGTGAACGTTGCAGCTAGGCTATGGTTTCTGGAAACGCGACTCTCACTGAGAGTCCCGTTTTCTGGGGGGTCGAATTTTGACCCCCGCTGCTTCAGCCTGGCGAAAATTTCGCAGAAAAAAAATCCGCGATATTGCGACATGGTGCTGACTGCAACCAGACATTCTCCATGTCGCGAAACCCAACCAGTGACCCCAAAACGGGCTTCCGACCAACTCCCTCCCTTTCACCGCACCTAACTTAGCTCCCCTCCTTCCCGTCTACAAACTCCAACCTTTCCTCACAAATGCTCCACCTCCCTTCCCGTTTTGCAACAAGACCTAAAACAGCATGCGCCAAAGCTCACACAATTTCCGCTAGCGTTTCGTACGCTAAACGCGTTTACAGCAACAAAGCTTCGAGTCGTGTTGAAGCCAAGCCCGGGCGAGGCGGCTTCACCTCGACCCAAGCTCGGCTCGGCTTCTGCTCGTAACATGTGAAGCCGCGAGCCGAGCCGAGCCAGCTTGGTCTTATGCCCATGTCTAGCGTTGCACATATGATTGAAATCGTGTGCTGGACCATCCATCACTTCGACTTCACGCAAGCTTTGCTCTGGTCACGCGCCCGTTTCACTTCCCTGGGGAACGCGCACAAGCTGAAAAGTTTGCTGCCGCCTCCTCATAACGACTGCTACCAGACATGAGGCACAGGTGCAGATGCTCTTCTGAAGTCATCAAAAAGCAGCTACACAGCTGCACCACATCCCCTCGACGACTGTCAGTCTGTCACTGAACATGAGCCACAGGTGTAGCAATTTTTCTAGAATCCTCAACACAGCAGCTACGCAACTACACCTACACCGCGCCCCCTCGACGACTGTTGTTACTGAGCACGAGCCACAGGGAGGGCGGATCTATAACGTGCTTGGTTGGAAGGAGGGATGGCCGACGGTGAGTGCAAGTGGGAAGGAAAGGGATGAAAGCAAGTGAGTGGGAGAGCGGTGAGTGCAAGTGAGAGGGAGGGGGTAAGTTGGACTTTGAAAAAGGACACAGGGTTCAACTGACAGGCGTTCGAGGCTTTTGAATCTGGAGATGTTGGCTGGTAGGGAGCCAGAGAGCGGCATGTTCACCAGGTTGCTGCACATAGGGCGAGCAGAGGGGAGGGCAGGCAGAAGGGGAAGAGCAGAGAGAAGGAGGCAGACAGGCCCTAATGTAAGTAAGGTGGTGCAGAGGGCTGGGAGCCAGGGAGGGGCATGTTCACCAGGTTGCCGCACAGGGCGAGCAAAAAGGGGCGAGGGAGGCAGGAGGGAGGAGGCCGGCAGAAGGGGAGAGGCAGTCAAACCAAGGTTAAGACAAAAGAGGAGCAGCAGATTGCTGTGAAGGACGAGCAGAGTGAAACGAATCCTTGGGAAACATGAGCGCAACAGCCACAGGCTGAAACTGCCTTCACCTCGGCTTGTTCTTTGAAACCGCGTGGGAACAGAGGCAGGGAGAGGGGGGAGGAGAAGGAGGAGGAGAAGGAGATCTCGCTCAAGGAAAGGCACAGAATCAACCATGTTGCTCACAAATCCAATTCTCAGTGTCAGTGGCTCACAAGAAATGTTATATGCACTCACATCTCCTTCACAGTGGTGTTCTCCTTGCCCATGAAGTTGGTCCATCCCGAGAAGAGCAGCGGCGAGTGGACATCTGAACCCTAAATCCACTTGAGCGTTTGGGTCCAATAAAAAAGCTGGTTACACTCACATCTGACCAATAGTCCAGTCGTTTCCACTCACATCTCCGTTATAGTGGTGTTCTCTTTGCACGTGAAGTTGGTCCATCCTGAGCACAGCAGCGGCGACGCCCACACGAGCGCGCCGCTGGGATCCAGACTGCGACCCAACCCGGCGAGAGACAAGCCTGCGATTGAGAAGAGATGGAAACGGTGGAGAGAGAACAGCGTGAAAACGTCGAGAGTCTGAGGGCACGGAGTTGCAAGAGTCTGCGCCCCAGCGAGGCGAGGGATGCGCCTGCGATTGCGACGGGCTGGGGGGTGAAAGGATACTGAGAGTTCGGACAGGAGAGTCCCACGTGAGCGCGAGTCTGGAATCCGCTATGCGGTCCAGCAAGCGAGAGACACGCGTGCGATTGGGAAGGGGTGGGACGGGTGGATTAGAGGGGGATGCAGCAGCGGGATGGGAAGTGGAGGGGTAGATTCTGGAGGGTAAAGACGCCCGGATGAGGCGAGAGGCACGCCTGAGAAAAGAGGAACGTGAAGGACATGGGAGGAGGCGGCTGCAAGAACGGAAGTGAGAGAAGGCGGCTGAAAGAATGGAAATAGTGGAGAAAAGAGGGGGACGTGACGAGCTGCGGAGAACGGCGCGGATGGTGTGGCGGAGACATGCCTAGGAATGGGATAGGCCGCGGAAACACCAGCAAGAAAAGGGGAGCACGGAGAGGGAGGCGAGAGAAGGTGGCGGAAGTAGTGAGGAAAAGAGGGGGAAGCGACGAGCTGCGGTATGCGAACGGCGCGCATGGTGCGAGAGTTCTCAAGTACCATGTCGTGGAGTGAAAAAAGGGGAGTGACAAGCTGCGTTTGAGAACGGTGCGGATGGTGTGGAGGCGGCATGGCTGGGAGCGAGATAAGCCGCGGAAACACCAGGAAGATGAGCCGGGGGCTGATCACATGAAGGGCGTACGCTCGACTGTGCCCCCTTACGCTCCATGTGTAGGAAACAGAAAGACGGAAAAGTTCATCATCTTTCAGCCGTACGGCTGATGCAATGACTTGATGGAAACCTGGAAGGTGTAAGATTGTCATATGCAAGGCCCCTGGAAAACAATACACGTTACTACGCCTGTCAAAGCTTCGCGGGGCCTTCAAGACGGCGAAGACTAGAGACCAGGCGTGAACGTTCAACCAACTTGAAGCCTCCGACCATAGTATCCTCTTGAACGTTCGATGAACGCTACGGTTCACGCCACCAGCGGTATAAACGCACGTTACAGACCCTCGCATCTCATCCCACCTTCAGAAAGAGAATCTGATGTCGACGACCACAAAAGATTTTTGTGGATAACTTACGGTCGGCAGCTGGGTCGTCGGCGATAACGGGTCGAGACGCACAGAGTGCCAACGCCGCGAGGAAAAGAATTTGCGAGCGGATGGAGAACAGTTTCTGTAGTTGACAGTCCCTGACGGATGGTCTAAGCTCGCTGCTAACCGTCAAGTCTTGGCGTGCTGCCGATGACGGCCGTCTACTCCCGCTACGCGATATTCTGGTGCACGTTGATAATGTACGAGAAGCTAAGGCGGCTTCTTGACTTCCTCCTTGCAGCCCTAGAGTAAAACGGTTATGGTCGTGCACTGCCATGGAGTCACCTCCAGAAAGACGCGTAGGGTATCGGTATCCAAAATAAGTTACTCGGGATACAGCTAATTACGATGGCGAATCTGCGCTGCGAGTGAAAGCCGCTGCATTAGCACGGTCAGCCTTCTGAAAGGTGGAGCTAAGGGCATGTGTGTCGCAGCCATAGGTTGTCTGACAGCTACACTCGATCTTTCACTGACAGCAACGGTCCCTAATGACAAGCTTCCCCCAGTCGAACTGCTATGCCCCAAGAAAACTCTGGAATGCTATTGGTGCCTTGCTGCCTGTGCCTCATTCCTCGGGAACTCCACCACAACCTTGCATGGATGGGTAGGGAGGTATATGGCTGACTCCACCATGTCTCCCCTTCCCGCTTACCGAGCCTGCTGCGAGCCTTTCCCCCAGCCTGCTGAACCAGACCACCTTGCGCCAAGCCTCCTTGACTAGACAACCTCCCCCGCATCTCTCCGTTTTGCTCACCCGCCGCAAGCCTGGCTCTACCGCCAAGCCACAGCAACAAACCACGCAACATAGACCGAACCCACAGCTCCCTCGATTTGCACGAACTTGAAATCAGCGGTGCAATGCGAAAACCTGGCTGGTTGGGGGCGATGACAGCGCGCGAGTTTTGCTGGAGACATACCGCAGTAACCAGACGATTGTCGCCGACCGTCACCGCAACCAACAGCATCCACAGCTCGGCCAAGCCAAGGCCAAAAAAGCCCAACCTCCACGCTCCACATAAACTTCACAGAAAGTTCCTGGACGGTACAGCAGCATCGCTGGTGCAAATACAAGCAAGCGTATTTCCAGCCTATTTATATAACATATGGGATTGCATATATATATATATATGTATTGTATATATATAACATCTAGAGCTACAGTCCTATCCGGTGCAATGGAGCAGGGCTGGAGTTTCAAAAATATCCACTCTGAGGTAGCTAAAAAAAAAAATCCACTTAGTATGAGTGACAATGTCATGGAAAGCCCAACCGTAGAAAGTCGAACTCTGAGGAATTAGGGAATTTTGTTGGGCTGATGATAGCCCTAGGATCTTTTCAGAATGCTAAGTCCTTGTAATAGAGTGCTTGATAGCACAGGGGAAGTCTTGAGTAGAACCCTTGTACTGGTATATAAGTGTCAAACACATTTGCGTGTCATGTTGTAGACCATATAGGGTTGTGCCTTAGAGAGTACAGCCCCCTAGGTCATAATGCCTTGTACTCTCACATTCTAGTCATTCTTTCAGTTTGTTATGGTATCATAAGTAGGTTAGGTCCCCTTCGCCCACCAGCACTTCCGCCGTAGGTCCTAGCCGTCTCGCCTACCCCGTCCCCTAGCGGCCCTGCGGCCCCGTCTCCTAGTGGCCATGCGGCCCCAACCCCTAGCAGCCCCTCACCCCCATCGACCAGCGGCCCCGCGGCCCCGTCCCCAAGGGGCCCCTCGGCCCCGTCGACCAGCAGGCCCACGGCCCCGTCCCCTTGCAGCCCCGCGGCCCCGTCACCTAGCGGCCCCTTGGCCCCGTCGACCCGCGGCCCCGCGCCCCGTCCCCGTAGCCGGCCCCGTCCTGCCGCCGGCCCGTTCCCCTAGCCGGCCCCGTCCTGCAGCCGGCCCCGTCCCATCGCCGGCCCCGTCCCGAAGCCGACCCCGTCACATAGCTGACCACGCCGAGCCGACTCCGCCAGGTAGCTGGCCCCGTCACCTAGCCAACCCCGTCGCCGCGTCGGCCCCGTCGCCCAGCCGGCCTCGCCTTCCAGCCGGCCCGCACAGACCTCGCACCGCACTGCACTGCCCTGCACTGCACTGCACCGTCTTGTACCGCATTGCACCGCACTGTACCGCACTCTACCGCACTGCACTGCCCTGTACTGCTCCGCCCCTCTGCCGCCGCACCGACCCTGATGGCGGACTCGGTGCAACGCTTTGACGCAGAGGGCCAGCCGATCGAGTTCGACACGTGGCTCATCGACCTCCGCTGTCACCTCACTGGTCAGCGGCAGGACGGCCACTCCTTGGCCGTTCACCACGACGGTACGCTCCCCTGCCCTGAACCCCTTGCTGCCCTGCCCGCTGACCCCTCGTCTGCTGACCGTGAGTCCGTTGCCCCTGCTGCCCTTGCCCGCTCAGTCTGGCTGTTGCGTAAGGCACTCGCACAGCTCGCGATCAGTCATGCCCTCCCCCTGTCTGAGCGCCCACGGTTTCGGTCTGTCATGACTGCGCAGGAGTTCCTCGAGGCTGTTGTCGCGCGCTACTCCACCCCACCCGCTGCCTTAGTCGGTCGTCTGATCCTGCCCATGCTCTTTCCCGATCTCGCGTCTTTCCCCACGGTCGCTGACCTGGCCGCCCACCTGTGCACGCTAGTTGCGACTTAGCGCGCTGCCTGCACTGAGTCCTAGCTTCGTTAATTTCAATCACCCATCTGCACTACCCTCTACCTGCTTACCACATGCCTTCCCGACCGCCTTGCTACCGCCCGCGATCACTTCCTTAGTCTCCACCCCGCTGACCTCACCCTCACTGACTTTGTCGACACCCTGTCTGCCATAGAGACCCGCCAGCGCTCTATCGCCCAGTCCAGCGGTACTGTGCCGGTCACTATCTTTCAGGGTTGTGCCCTCGCTCAGTATACTTTCTCTGACGGTTCTGCTGCTGTTGCTGAGACAGTGCCTGCTGTGGCGACAGCCGCCGCAGCGCAGTTTTGTCCGGGGAAGGGTCGTCGCCCCAAGGATGGGCGCGGCGGCAGTAGTGGAGGAGGGGGTGGAGGAGATAGTGGAGCCAGGCTGCCCGCTGGTAGTACGGACGAGGGGCCTGGGGCTGGTGCCTCCGAGCAGCAGGACCAGCAGCAGCAGTAGTAGGCGCCGCCGCAGCAGCCGCAGCAGCAGCGGCGGGCTGGTGGTCTCCCGTCCGGGTGGCCTGGTGCTGGTGGAGGCGGTGGACGTGGTGGTCGTGCGTGCAGTGTGCCGTCGGGTGGTAGTTCGGGTGACGGGCGCTCTCAGTACCAGCTCCAGACAGGTCCTCGCCGCGGCTCCATGTGCGGTAAGATCAGTCACACCCCCGCCCGCTATTTTCGTCGCCTGGACAACCTGTTTCGTCTTCGCTTCGGCCCGTCGCCCGACCTCCCTGACTGGCACAGCTTGCTTCACCGTAGTGTTCAGATCTTTGATATGGACATGGATGAGATTAGCTCTGCTTTGTATGTGCTGTATGTCGATGACTCTAGTATGACTGGTTCCTACTACCCATTGTTGCCTAGTGTAGGTGTGCCTAGTTCGGCCTCCCCTGCTGCGTCAGGCGTAGGATCCCCTACCTTGTTTAGTCTTGGCTCCTCCCTCGCCACTCTGACCCCGGCCGCCACTGCTGCGCTCTCCTAAACCCTGGACTCTGGCGCTTCCCGGTGTTTCTTTCGCGACTCCGCTACGCTGACGCCGCTTGCCGCTCCCACCATAGTTTCCCTTCCCGACCCCTCCTCAGGTCCGGTAGTCACCCGTAGCTCCACCACCCTTCCCTGTCCGGCGGTTCCTTCGGGCTCTCTTACAGGCCTACACCTCCCCTCGTTCTCTAGGAACCTAGTTGGTGTCGGCTGCCTCCAGGACCTTGGCGTCACCACTATGTTTCCTAGTCACGAGCGGTATGCTGTCTGTACCGAGGCCGCTACTGGTGCTCCCCTCACCACGTTCCAACAAGACCCGGTGTCTGGCCTGTTCACGCTGGACACCCCCCCCCGGTTGGGATGTCTCCCAAGGTGGCTGCGTCTACCCAGGTTGCTGCGGCCTGCTCGTGTCGGTCGCTTACTCACCCGACACTTCTGTGGCACCACCATCTAGGTCACCCCGCGCTCCTGGTCTGAGTCACATGCCTCAGCACGGTCTTGTCCTAGGTCTCCCAGAGTCGTTCCCTAAGTTGCCCTCCTCCCCAGCGCCGCCGTGCACGCCCTGCGTCGAGCGCCGTCTCCGCCGTGCCCCTCACTCCTCCTCGTTCCCCACCACCGCCGCACCGCTACAGACCCTGCACATGGACGTCTGGGGCCCCGCCCCTGTCCATGGGTCGCATCGAGAGTGCTACTTCATCGTGCTTGTCGACGACTACACGCGCTATACCACAGTTTTTCCCCTGGAGCGGAAGGCGGACATGCCTCTTATCCCGTGGCTGGTCTCTGCACGTGTGCACCGCCATCTCCCTGTGTAGCGTCATCAATCCGACCGTGGTGGCGAGTTTGCCTCCTGCGTCCTTCGTCGTTTCTATTGTGCGGAGGGCATCACCCAGACGTTCACCCTGCCGAACTCCTCGCAGCAGAATGGGGTCGTTGAGCGACGCATCGGTTTGGTCATGAAGATGGCTCGTACCTCCATGATCCATGCCGGTGCACCCCATTTTCTGTGGCCGTTTGCCGTTCGCTACGCCGCTCACCAGCTTAACCTGTGGCCGCACCCCCAGGAGCCGCAGGTTTCGCCGACCCTTCTTTGGACCGGGTCCCCTAGTGACGCATCTGCGTTCCACGTCTGGGGCTGCCTTGTTCACGTTCGTGCCTCTGGCACAAACAAGCTCACTGCCCGCACCGACCCGTGTGTCTTCCTCGGTTTCCCCCTCGACTCGTCTGACTAGCACTTCTACCACCCGCCGTCTCACCATTTCTTTCACTCTTGCGACGTCACCTTTGACGAGTCCGTCTCCTTCTACCACCTCTTTCCCCACCGTGGTCCCCCGGTTACTCCCCCCCTGTTCCTGGTTCCCCCTCCCTCGGTCGCCTCTGCTCCTCTCCCTCCCCGCCCTTCCCCGTCTGGTGTGTCTCACGTCACCCCCCTCCTGTCGGTTGTCCCGGTTGAGGAGTTTGCTGACTCTAGTGGCCGTGCGGCACAGTCCTCGCCGCCCGCCCCTCCCCCAGAGTCTCTTCCTCCATCGTCGCAGCAGCCGTCATCGCAGCCGCCGCCGCCGCCACACCCGTCGTCGCAGCCGCAGTCGCCGCAGCCGTCGTCGCAGCCGCAGCAGCAGCAGTTCGTCGACCCAAGCAGCCGCAGCTCGTCGACCCTGGGGGTGCTGGGGTTGAGGAGGGTGCTCGTCCTGGGGTTCCTGTCGTGCCTTGTCGCGGCAGGCCTGGGGGTGGTACCGGTGCTGGAGAGGTTCCTGGTTCTGGGTATGCTGGAGTGGAGTGTTCCAGCTCGTCTTCCTCCGCGTTCTCCTCCTATGTCTCCTCCTCTGTCTCTTGACCAGACACATCCGTCTCACGTGTGGTCCCGCCGTCCCTCTCGTGCTCGTACTGTCCCTCCTGTTCCGTGCTCTCACCCTATGTTGC